CAACATTGGTTTTCTCTCTCTTAGGCTATATTGTATCAATATGTTATTTTGCGATATTGGTTTTACAATATTGGCAAAATATTGTAATTGAGTTCGTAAATACAATAAAGCGGATACATGTTGGCACGATATTGTATTGGAAGCGGAAGTACAGTATTGGTAAAATGTATATTGACTTTACATGAGAACCTCATTTTGTTTATGAGTGACGAAGCCCACTTTCACAAGACACAAGCCCCGAACTCTGGATGAATTGAAGGGCGAAATTCGCGTGGAAGTCGCCCAAGTTGAGAGAGCGATGTTGGAGAGAGTCTACGCGAACTTCCAAGAACGCCTCCAGGACTGCGATTTCGGCCACCACATGCCTGATGTGATTTTCCACACTTGACTGTCTCAAATGCTATTTCCTTGCGAACCTGACTCCATCAATAAATTTGTTTTCGAGTGAAAATTAACTATTTTATGATTTTTTTAAAACCGTCCATCCTCTCTGCCGCACCCTGTAGTATGATTAAAACGCAACGAAAATGGATTTTCGATAAACACTTTTTTCTAACATACTGTAAAATTTAAAATTTAGAAAATATCCTTATATTTTTCTCTCCAACTGCTGGACCATGCAGAGGAAAGAAACGGTTTATACTTTTTGAAAATCGATTTGGTGACGGTGGATAAAATAAGAAAAAATCGCTCAACCTTCTTTTTTTAGATTTCAAAGGATCATGAGCATTTTTCAAAGATGTTTTAGGAGTAATAAGTTGGGAAATGGTGGCGTGCAGGAGGGTGCTAGAGAGTATATCGCATGAACATGTCCTTCAACAAAAAACTGTGGATTCCTCCTTTCACCACGTCGCCTTCTAACCCTGGCACGACCATCGTGCATGCCTAAACTAAATCGAGACTCGTCACTAAAGACAATACTGTTCCATTTGTGATCCCAGAGTGACCGTTGTCTGCACCACTCAAGGCGATTACGTCGGTGTTCTCGAGTTAAAGGGAGGACCCAGTGTGGCCGGTATGAAAACAAGCCAAAACGTCTCATTCGTCGGTAAACACTTCGCATGCCAATAGGTCTTCCGTGTTCTGCAAACCATTCATTTGCAATGGACCTGGTAGTGGAGAAACCGTCCCTTAAGGCCAATAATCTTAGGCGGCGATCTTCACGGTCTGTTGTTCTACGGCGGCATCTAGTGCCCCTTGCTCTTTGCGTACGGCCTTCTCGAAGCCATGCCTGACAACACCTAACCACAGTGTCTACACTTCTTTGCACTCTAACTGCAATTGCCCGAAAAGAAAGTCCAGCTTCCCGAAGTCCCACTATACGGCCCCTATCAAACTCACTAAGTTGCCGAAATCGTACAGGTCTCCGTACTCTAGGCATCGTAACCGATCGTAAAGGATGTCAAGAACCAAAATCCGCCAACGTTGATTCTTTACTGCGGCTGAAATATTCATTTTTAGAGCGTTAGTGAATTAAAAAAAAAGCAGTATAAAAACCGGAATGTCCAACTGATAAGGCTGAAAATTTTTTCACTTGTTATTTACAGTAAGATAAATAGATCCACCAACTTTTATTAAAATAAAATCATTTAAACTGGGTGTTCGGATTTATATGTCACTTAGTATATTTTTTTGTGGGAAAACGGGTTAACTGAAAGCATGCGAAAACAAAGCTCTATTTTCATCAATAGAACCATAGTCAAATGAGCAAAAAACTATTTTAGAATAATAAATTGTTACTGATTGAACGCGTTATGAATAAAAATCCTATTTAACTAACAAGTAGGTCTACTTGACATTTAGTACAAATGAAACAAAATATGGATCCAAACAAAACCCTTTTTTGTGACTCAGGAACTTGAATAGCTCAAATCGCCTACACTTGTGGTACTTTTGAACCAAGTTTAGAACGTCAAAACAAAAGTCAACGCAGCCTAATGACTGTCATTCTGAAGTTCGAACCTTATTTTCTTGGGCTATAAGGAAGGCGTGATTGTTATGTAACACTTACGGCTGTAAAGCGAAGGTAGGTGTGCGTGTGTACAGACATGCATTCATAATTTATTTATTGTGAATCACTGACATGACATATCGTTAAATATTTTTCTAAGAAGAACTAGGATGAATTTGCTTTTCCAAACATCAATTATTATAAAGTATAGTCATATAAATTATCTAAATAGCTCAGATGCTAAAATAGCATGGCAAACAATAGCTACCCACCCTATGAAACTAACTAACTAAACATGAATTTTGTAAATTCAAGACTTTTTCTAGAAGATACATCCTATTACGTATTTCTCTTATCTCCTTTTCTCGGTTCATCCATGAATCTTCTACATGTTATGTATACAGATCGGACTTAGTTACGTGATATCTAATTTTGGCACGATCTCCTTCAAATCCGGATCGAAGTATCTAATTATATTATCCAATACTCGTGTGTCATATACAGGGTGATTCATAAGTCGTGACCAAATCATGCACAGGACCGCAGAGCTTCGTAAATCTAATAAAAACACACTTAAGCAACCGTTCAAACTGTGTTATGTTAGCAAATGATTCCGCTATTTCCAAAACCGATTTTAAACCTATAAAAAGAGGAGTTCCTCAAGGTTCAATTTTATCTCCTTTGCTGTTTTCAATCTACATATCTTACATGGTCAAATCGGTAAAATTCGCAAAGATAAGACAATATGCAGATGACTCACAAATATATCTCCCTGCCAATAAAACCACAATCCATATTGCACAACAACAACTAAATTCAGATCTCCAAAGAATTGACAGATTTGCAAAGCATCACAATCTTAAACTAAACCCCTCAAAATCGCAAGTAATGGTTATGAATAAAAACAGTACTGAAAGAGAACATTTTGAACAAAATTTAGTAATTTCTATTAACAATGACAGAATCCCCATAGTTCAGGAGACAAAAAATCTAGGCATTATATTTGATAGCTGGCTTGGCTTCGGCAGTCATATAAAAAACAGAACAAATTTAGCTTACATGCGACTAAAAATTATAAACAAATTAAAAAAACATTTATCAGCCAAACAAAAATATTATTTGTGTAATACCTTAATTTTATCACTTTTTGACTATGGAGATGTCGTCTATGGTGATTCGCTGTCGTCGCGAACCAAAAAATGCATACAAAAAGTTCAAAATAGTTGCATGAGATTTGCATTTGGAATTCCATATCGAGACCATATCACTCCTTATCTGAACAACTACAACATATTAAACATGACGAATCGCAGAAAATATCACATGTATTCTTTTATCTATAGGGTTATAAAAACAGGTCAACCGCCCTATTTAAGAGAAAGATTTGTTTGTTGAAATAATCTCAATTTTATCGTACCTAGGCATAGAACGAGTTCCTTCCGACGATCGTTTGCTTATGTGGCGGTTCACTTATGGAATAATTTACGAACTTCAGTTAAAAGCTCATCGTCAAAAACAGTCCCAAAACTGACAAAAACGTTGTTACAGAATCACCAGCTACTTTAGCAGCATTTGTGTGAGCAAAAATATCGCTGACAAGACACTTTGTATTAAAGGATCCAATGTATCGGTTTTATAATCGAGATACTGTGCTTTTTCGTCATTGCTCTATATTGTAGAATTTAACTTGTTTATGATGTTTATTCATGACGAAATAAATATTTTGAATTTCAATTTGAATTTTAAGTGGGGTCTTCTATGTAACATCTTCCTCTCGAGGTCTTCATTAAAAAGATAGTACGCCATTGCTTGTTTTTTCAAAACGCGCAATTTTTCTAATTTTACCTTCAATTTGCTAAGAATAATTACTCTTGTATTTTTTCCTAGAGTGAACTGTTTTCGTAAAAATAAAAATAAAAGAAATTAGATAGTTCATGAAGAGCCAAGATACAATTAGTTTCAAAATAAAAGTAGGAAGCCTTGCACAAAGTCCAGCGACGAAATTTTTGTGAGTGGTTAGTGAAAATTCACAATCAAAATGCAGGTTTTATTGATTTGCTTTTGTTGTAACATGATCTCGATGCATTGTTTTTAGCTACCAATGCTCCTGGAAGAAGTGCGTATAACAGAGTAGAGCGCAGAATGGCGCCTCTTAGTCGGGAACTGGCTGTTTTAATATTGCCTCATGACCATTTTGGGTCTCATTTGGATGAACGTGGCGTTACAATTGATGGGCATTTAGAAAGATCTAATTTCGAATTTGCAGGAAATGTATTAGCTGAAGTATGGAGTTCAATGGAAATTGATGGCTATAATGCAAAACGTGTGGTCTTTATCATGCTTCTGTCAAGTCACTAAATCGTCACATCGAAAATGTCCATAAAAAAGTAAACACGCATACTGATAGAAAAGTTAGACCTGTAAGAGTAGCTGCTCGTCGTGCTAATGAACTCATGTGCATTATTCAAAATTTAGAGCACTATGATGTTGAATGGCTTGATGAGAACGACGTAGACATTCCAAAATCCGATGAAAGCGAGCAAACTCACAACACTGAGCATCAATCGAAGCCATCCAATGTCTTCGAAAACTTAGAATCATGGATTCGGGTTTGATGGACTGAAGACTTAATTTGTATTTAATTTAATTACCAAAAATTTAAAATAAAGCTTGTTATGTTAGTAAGATATAATATGTTTGTCCTTTACTCTATGTTGAATACCGTATCAGTAAAATATAATCTATATCCTGAATCTATTTTCTTATTTTTTTTAAATTATAATTATGACGTTATAATTATAATATTAAAAAAAAACAATATATTAATTGACAAATGTTGACGTAAGCATGGGGGGAGGGGGTAAGAGCTTTGCTTACTTTTGCTGACAAGGGGGATGGGGGGTAAATAATTGTAATAAACCTGCTTACCTAATACTTGAACGGCCCCTTTCAGTTACTACAGACCGTTTTTGTATTTTTTTAAAAATATAATTGTTTAACCTTTTTGTGCTCTGATTTATACCTGCTAACCACCCCCATTATTTTCCAGCGGACAGAAGAGCGCTCAGTCCCGATCGCCGTTCGGATCCACCGAACCCTTGAGCTGGCAGACGACAAGTTTTATGTGATCACGTGCGGTAAGGCCGGCTTCAGAAACGCCAGGAACGAAACCTCCCTCGTATCCCTACGACTGCTCGACGGAGAACGAAAAACGACAGAGGCCGTCTATCACAGGCCGTACACGTTAAGGACCGAGATATCCAGGCCAGACGGCGCTTATGGCTTCAGGTGGGTACATGTTTATTGCTTTTGGGGGAAGACCCTTTTGGGATGCGATCTTTATTCCGATTTATAGGAACCTTCTTATTTGGATCTAGTTTAAGAGTCTTACGTGCTACACGTTAATGAGTCGAGGGTTGATTCCCATGCTCAACCCCTGATTCCTTTGCAGATTTATATTCGATGCATGTTATTAACAGCATAACTAATGGTCTTAATATATATATATATATATAAGCTTCCGCCTTTTGTTGGGTACTTCGACAAAATTTAAGCAAAGAGGACTCTTTATACTTTTTTAATTCTCTCTAGCTTTCAATGGACTTTGCCATCATCATCAGGAGCTGCAATTACAATGATAACAGTAGCAACAAAAGTGTAAAATGAATTTAAATTGACTCAACTTACAGTAGTATGTGAGGATGTTGCTAATTGTTGTTTACGTATAGGATGAGGGAAACGTCCAGTAACATGGTGAGAGCTGGATAGAAGGTACAATGGTCAAAATTATATAAAATCTGACAAGAACAAGTTAAAAACAGATTAAAAATTATTTAAAAAACATTAGAGCATTACATCGTGAAGCCACTTGATGATTGCACAAAGTGGTGGTCATGGAATAATGAGTGAGATGGAACCCTTTGACAGAAGGCCGAAGGTTATCAATGTCTGTGTTGAAAGATGGAATTAATTGTGGGCGTGTGCCAAAACGTTGCCAAATCATTTCAGATGATGTGATTTTCAGAATGTTATGTAAGAAATTGTTAAACCGACCAGAGGCAGTTGAATAAACTATATTTTAATTAATGGAAATTTTAAATTAACAATTATTAATAAATCGTGAGAAGAGAATTATTAGATTTTGAGTGGAATGAAATTTGTTGGTGGAATCAGCCAAAACACAGATTATATTTATGGTTGTGAAAAGTCGAAATTTGGGGAGATATGTAAGTTCTCCAATTTTTCGCAGTTTAGCAAATATGAATAAATGACACTCAGTTGTTTAATATCTGTCTTTTTGTTGATACAGTTGTTATTCATGAAAATGTGGGACATTTCCAGGAATAAACGTTTGGAAAGGTGTTTTTCTTTATCAAGAACTTTGATACTTGTGTAATTCATAGAATGCCCTGTTGTGTTAACATGAGATGCTAGAGCGCATCTTTCAGGATGAAGCCTAGCATCACTTTTGTGTGATGTAATCCTTCCTTTAAGAGATCTGGAGGTCTGACCTATGTATATTTGGTTGCAGTTGTTGCAATTGATGGAGTAGACTGTGTTAGTTAAGCCAAGCAGCGGGACTTTGTCTTTCATTTTTGAAAAAATGCGGTTTATAGTGAGGACGGATTTGCAAGCAATTCGAAAGTTCAAAGGACTGCACAATCTGATCAGCTAAGGGGTCAGTTCCTTGATATAGGGCAGGACAGCAAAACCAGGTCTGGAGTCTGGGTTGGTGCTTGTACTGTTTGGATTGATGCTATTATTGGGAATTACATCAGTTCCGTTATTATTAGGGGTTGTGTGACTATTACCTGCATCACCAGAGTTCGGCAAAATATTGGAAGGTGAACTAAATAAGATCTTGTTAATCAGACACTTCGGATAACCATTATTGATGAACAGTTTTGATAGTTTATGTAAATTTGAGGTGTGGAAAGTATTATCTGAGATGCTGATTACCCTTGTTTTCATCTGTTTTACCAAATTGATTTTAATCCCTAGCTTATGGTATGACCTAAAATTGAGAAACCGACCTGAGGCCATAGGTTTCTGGTACCAGTCTACCAATAAATTGTTGTTGGTGGTGCGGATGAGCCTTGTGTCTAGAAAGGGGATAGACAGGTTCTCATCTTCTTCTTCAATGGTAAATTGAATGTAGGGGTCATAGCTGTTGAATTCTCTGACAATACCATCCAGACCTATGGAGGGGAGGCATAAAATAATGTCATCTACGTATTTTTTTATGAAGAAGAGGTTATAGGGTAGTGTCGGAATAACAGTATCAAGCAGATCATCCATGACATATTCTGCCAAAATTGGTGATAGAATAGGACATAGGACAACCATGTGTTTGAGAATATATTTTGTTGTTGAAAGAGAAATAATTGTTATGGAAAAGGAATGTTATAATGTTGGTGAAAGATTCTAGAGATATGTTGCAGTGTTGACTGATCTCATTCCAGTCTTTATTAATAGTTCTTGTACATGCATCCAGATAGATATTGCTGAATAGCGACACCACATCAAGACTGGTGATAATATGATCGGCTGGTATTGTCAATCTGTTGAACTGACGAGAGACCCCAAATGAGTCTTTGATGTAGTAATCATTATCTGTATGTGCTGATTTTAGTGTTGTCGATATTAATGAAGACAAAGCCTGGGTGGCTGAACCTATTGATGCAACTATAGGTCTTACTGAGAGTACGGGTTTGTGAATTTTCGGAAGTGCATAGAATTTGGGAGGGACAGAGTTATAAGTGGTCAAAGTTCTTTTTTGTTCTTGGGTTATTTGTCCAGTGCTGAGAAGTTCCTTAACAATGTCATTACTTTTCTTTTCCACTTTAAGTGTGGGATCTCTATTGATTTCATGGTATGATGGGTCATCATTGATGAGATTGTTGCAAAGATCTAAATAGTGTTATTTAAGTATTATCACTGTAACATTGCCTTTGTCAGATCTTGTAACCATAAGTTCAGAATGTTGTTTTTGAAATATTCTAGTTTTGTTTAAAAGGTTGTGATAAAAGGAATGCTTTTTATTAAGATTGTTACTATGATAATAGTTAGTGATGAGGTTAGTGGAACGAGTTGTGAAAATGTTTCTTTCAGTGTCATCACCTATGGAGGATGCTATTGTGTCTACATCAGCTAGGATTGATCTAATGGGAATGTCATTGTTAACAATCGGCTCTACACTGAACTTAGGCCCTAGGGAAAGAAATTTTAAAATGTCATGAGGGATGTCAACATTACTGAGATTTTTTATCCAATTTTGTTGAGTGTTGAGCAAGGTTTTTCTGGTGTCATTCAACAATCTGTCAAACTTACGAATATTAGAGTTTTTTATGTTATGAAAGATTTTATTGTAATGTCTGAGTTGTCTATATTTGAAATTATCAAAAATTAGGGGAGAAGTGGAAGAAATTATGTCACTTTGGAGTGAATTGAGTATGGAATGAAGTTTTTTCAACTGTCTGTGGCAGGAAGATATCTCAAGTGTGAGTATTTTGTCACCTAACCTGTGCAGACGATTTTTCATCCCATCTTCTATTGAATGGCTTTCTAGTATGTGTGTGATTGATGTTAAGCGGTGGGTGATGTGATGTGCTTAAATTTTGTCGAAGTACCCAACAAAAGGCGGAAGCTTTAATTTTTCACCTATATATATATATATACATACAGGGTGTTCCTTAATGATATGCAAATATTTAAGGGATGCGATCTTACTATTCAACCAACTTTCTTCTCAGAGATAAAAACTACTGACCCGGATCACTCAGCCTCACAAAACTATGCAACCAATAATGCGTAGTTTAGTTGAGTGATTCCTCCACAGATGGACGTTCACAACGATCCTAGTGAGCAAACGTGGAATGACTGTTTGCGCCCTAAGAACTACCTAGTCTGCAAGTTGACATATTATAGTTTTTTTTTTTTGACGTTTTATAGGTTTTTTACATGATACCCATGCGGGTTTTGTTCTATTCTGATTTGGATTCGTCGGAATGGTAAATATAGTCATGTCTGTTCGAAGATTCAGAACTTAAATTGACTGAAGATGGAATCACAGCTTCTAGATGTTATGGAGGTCCATGAGGTAGTTCATACTACAAAGCCACTTTTTCATAAAGGGGGTCTTTGAAAATGGATTTGTTATGGGTCCATAGCTGATAAACCGTGTAACACGCTGGTATATAATCTACGAATGAAGCACCTTATGTTAAAATATTCTCAATATTATTTTTACAGGGTGAAGAATTGTTTTGCATTCAACAAGCAAAACAGTAGTGTTCTGTTGGTAGACGACAGGGGATGCCCCGCGGACGAAAATATACTGGGTCCTTTCCGATACGACGAGATTAGAGGAGTAGCAGATGCTCCACTATTTTCGATGTTCAGGTTTCCTGATGGCTCCGAGGTTCATTTTCAGGTAAGAAACCAATATCGTATTGTATTTAATTGAAATCGATCCGCGTTTGCATCAAGAACCTCCTTAAATAAGCCTTAATGGTACCATCATATCGCTGAATCCAAACCCTAAGTATAATACTGAGGTATGTTCCTTGACACCAGGCTCAAGTGGAAAAACCATATAAAAAAGAGGGAAGAACTTAATCCCTGATCCAAACAATATTATTCAGATATTCTATTGCGTTTGGTGTCCCTCAAGGGTCTGTCCTGGGGCCATCACTCTTCATGGCGTTTATGAATGGTACAGACATTCAATTATATTTCTAGTTTACGCTGACGATTTTAAGCATCTTCGTCAAATTCGGTCTCTTGCTAATTGTGAAAAGTTACAATACAATAGCAACAGCTAGTGTCGCAAAAATAGCTTGCCTTAAAATGCTGTGAAGGGCAATGTGGTCAGTTATACCAACAAAACTCAAACAATTGCATTTGTTTATGGTATCGCTAATTATTGTCAATGATTTTTAATAATAAGTATTGCTTCAACAATCATACGGAGACAATTATGTCTGAGAGTTACAAAAGATTAGGCTTTATTATACACTATAGTCGTGAACTACATCACGTTAATACAATTAAGCTTTTATATTGCTTACAAATCTTGAATATGCATCAATTGTTTGGCAGCCTCTCTATAACTTTTGGAGAGATAAACTTGAATATATCCAGCGACGAGTACTGAAGTACCTACATTTCAAGAAAAATATCATTTACCTGCCAATCGGCTACCCTCAAAAATCTTAGAAGAAGCCTTTGATCTAGAAAGTCTCAGGAAAAGGCGTGATAAGTACTCCCTTAATTTTGTGCGCGACACATTGCACAATCGTATTGATTGTTGCAATATATTGCATAAATGTAATTTTCTTGTTCCACTTTTAAATTCCAGACGATATAATACTTTTAGGGCCGATTCCACCAACATTAATATTATGGACCAATGGGAAAATACCTTATCGAAATGCAATTTGACAGAAGCTGTCAAAGGTCTCTGAATATTAGTGATTTCTATTGAAATATTGAATAAAATCGTGAAAATTCGACTGTATTATAAACAAGACCACTTTTTGATTCCAACATGATGTTTTTGTACAGAAAAAACAGGACAACTTTCATGTATTTTGATATATGTTATAGGTTTACATTTAACAATCCGTTATCCCCCTCAGCGAATGGGAATGCGCAAATAATAGGTCGATTTTCTAGATGTTAAATTTGGCAGCAGATTTGGACGTTTGTTAATGCATGGCACTCTCGAATTTACCAACTTCAATATACTGAAAGTTATCATTACATATCTGTTGAATAGTGTGGATCTGTCTGTGTTTTACAAGAAAATAGAATATAAAATACATTCCATCCAATTCCTCATCTTCCTTTACGTCATAATAGTAATCATTTATTAATTTATGGGTTAATGAATTTCTTCAAAGCAATAAAAACATTATGTCCTCTCCATCCTAAAACACAGATAATTGTGTAAGACGTGTCAATCCCTACATCTCTCTGATGCATAATGCAATTACTATGGACATAGACAAAAAATTATGAAAAATGTTTCACAAATAATGTCTTTTAAGTCCAAAAATCAAAAAAACTAGTAATGTTTGTTGTTTGTCTTTTTGACTGGCGAGGATATTTATCTGTCACTCGCAGGGTTGCCAAGTCTAACGACGATCACGTCCCGTGGTGGAGGGTGCGAAATGAATCTTTTACATTTGCTGGTTTTCAATTTTTTTCGTGAAAATTTACTAGGTAGCATGATTATAAGCATCTTTGGTAGATTGTTCGATCCGGAATGGGAAAGATCTCCTATTTATGAAATATTTTTGGTATCATCTAACCCTTGCAATCAGTGCACAAACACTGTGACATATGATTTATAGCATGACCCGCTGCCCTATCAATACAAATTTAACATACAGGTCACCTAGCCGTGGGGATGCAGTGGTCTGGATGAATATCACGGCAGCAACTGATGATTTGGGTATGTTTGGTAACAACGTTGGAAGTGAAACTCGCTAACTTCACAAATTTGAAGATTTTGTACAATTTCTTTGAAAATGATGAAAGATATGTCTGATTTGGCAGGGTAATATCGCAGCCAAATGGTAGTCACTCTTTCTGACACAGTCCGGATCGAAAGATGACGATCCTCGTGAAATGTATTGATACTTCTAAATATAGGATCGTATCGAACATCCCTACTGTCAAGATGTATAACCCAAGGTACCGACGGAGCTATTTTGCGGCGTCATGGAAATAATTAGAAATTTTCATTTGCATTTTTTCAAGTGTTGTGCAATGATTCTGGGACAAATGTCACGATTAGTCTTATAAAGCATAACAGCATAACAGTTGGCGAAACTCTACTGGGACCAGGAGGGTGAAATGGGATATTAATGCACAATCTGGCAACCCTGTCGCACCCTCACAAAATGGCCGCTGACAACCACAAAGTCACCGTGTTGTCATTGAATAGCATGGAATTAAACCTTCAGAGTATATGTTTTGTGACTGGTACCAAGAGTTAACAGATCTCACACATGTGCCACTCCTTGAAATGCAATAATCAGCTGTATTCAAATTCAAATAATGTCTAACATAAATATAACCTAGAATGTGTACTCGTGAAAATAGAAACATATGGCAAATTTGTAGTTTTTTTGCAGGGTTTAGGTTTGCTGGTAGCTTTAAGGCATATATTTGGGAATTTCTTAATCGCTGTGAATATAGTGTGGATTTTTGTTCAGTTCCTGAACAACGAAAAATATTCGACTTTATGGATGTATGGATATCAAAAAACCTGAATGGTTTTGTGGGAATATCAATCTAAGGTGCAATAATTGTTCTGATGAACGGCAGGTAAATGAATGAATGTTTGGAAACGAGCAATATCTTTTGGTAGCCTGTCATCAAGTAGGTCCTTTAATGGCTATCTGCAAGAGGTTTATAGGAAAAAACACCCAGTATCGCAGATAAAATTGAAGAAAATAATATAAACATGAATAAAAAATCAACAACAGTAATTAAAACATGAATTTAATTCAAAAATCAAACATTTCTTAAAATTTTGAGTGAATTAACATATATGTAATTTCTTAATATTCAATAAGCTGGTGATGTTTCAATGACAAGTTGTCATCTCATACTTTGACAGTATTTTGTTTTCAACATTTCAAAGCTATTGGTTGCTAAAATTTTTTGTTTGGAACTTGAAGCTCATTCGCTGTATCTGACGGTCTGTTACCCTATAGGCGGAGAATAACGGACTGCTGTTGGTGAAATTTGCCCTTATTCTTTTAGATTTACTGGAAAACACGCCTAATCAGCTTGGTAGATGTTAGACAGCAAAAAAAGGAATATGTATAAGGTGTAACAAATTTCATCCTATATTATGTATGATCGAACAATCTACTAACTCTAAAAGTTGTTAATACAAGGAACGTTTAAATTTCTAGAAAAACTTGCCCTAGAGTCAGCTTTTCAAAAAGGCGTGAAAGAGTTTAATTCTGAACAAATAGCCAATCAAACCAATATAGGTCAAATAACAGTCCATCAAATGAATGTTATTATTTACAGGTACGTATATCAAATGAATATTTTGATTTTTCAAAAACAATTCTCCTTTCTAGCTCCTGGTTTTTTATCTTTGTAGTGGAAGGGGCTCTTACTAGTTTTTCTGAATGTACTATTCGCTAGAAGAACTTCTCCAGCATAATTCATTCCCTGATGCCTGGTCGTTACCCTTGTTACATGTTTTGCATACGTAGCTTACTCGTAACCTCAAGGACGCAGAAAAATTCGTGACTGGAAAAGCAATGTTAATTTTCGGTATGCCTCAACTGCATCTTTACAGAACCATAAAAGACAATATCGCTGTATTCGAATAATCGATAATTGCAAATTTTTTGCATCTGTGCAGCTATTAAGGTGCTACATATCGAAATTTCTCAAATGTCTGATTTCGGGTAATTATTGAAAAATCACAAAAATTGAAAGCTATCCAAATCTGTTGCGGCCAAATTTATTGCATCTTAGGTCTCCTTTTATGTCTTGAAATGAATGCTGCGAATTATTTATCCTTATATATGTTCAATCTGATTTCTTGTATTTCAGTGTGATGTAGGGCTTTGCAAAGGCCCTTGCGTCCACCCCTCATGTACAAGCAGTGATCTCCGACTACCTCTCTCAGACGACCAAGGGCTTCTAATGGCAGCAACCAGTGCTTTTGTTGTAGATCCTGGAGAAGCTCCTCTCACATCAGAGCTATGTGAAGGTAATAATACATTGTGTGATAATAATTTGCTACGACAGTTTGTAATTTGTAATAAACTTGAACTTGAGAGATCGTATATGATGGAGAAAAATGTTCCACAAAGTCAAGAAGTACATCAAAACAAAAACGTACAGGGTGTCCGCAAAGTTGGGGTTGTCCTTTTCAGAAACAACTACCCTTGAAATAACAAAGGTAATGTGTAGTGAAACGAGGGCGACCAAGTAAAAAAAATTAAGGAAAAAGTACTCACTCTCCAGTTGACGAGAAGGGCTAAGTACGTCTCTGCCCGAAATCATACCGCTCCAACAGAAAATGAAATCAGCTGATGCGCTACCGAGCAGACGCAGGCGGTGGTGCAGACCACAAACAGAGGTAACAAATATGACGGCGTTGCCGCGTTTTCAGTTTTTAGGTAAACGTACTTTATAGGTATTGTTCGAAGTTATCGCCGTTTGATTCAAAAACACAGGTGCGTGCACGACGTAGCCAAGCATCGGTGCAGGCTTTGAGAATGGAGTCCCTCTCCCGAATGAAAGCACCAGCTTGTTCAATTCTAAGACGAAGTTCGTCAACCGTATGCACTTTTGTACACTAAGCGTTTCATTTCTCCCCAAAGAAAAAAACCACATGGTGATAAGTCTGGAGATCGCGGAGGCCACGCTACGGGTCCATTACGTCCGATCCACCTATTCGGAAATAATTCATTCAAAAACTCACGCACTTCGCATCTAAAATGGGGCTGTGCACCATCGTGCAGAAACCACATTGATTGTCTTACACTTAATGGCACATCTTCTAACAAGGAAGTCAAAATGTTGCGTAAAAAGTCTAGGTATTGCATCCCGTCCAATCGATTTGGGAGAATAAATGGTCCAATGAGCATACCATGCCAGCCCAAACATTCACCCAAAATGTTTGTTGAAAATGTGCCCGACGGACAGCGTGCGGATTTTCTACTGACCAAACATGAGTGTTGCGAAAGTTATTCACCCCATTACGCGTGAACGTAGATTCGTCTGTCACCAATATGCAGTTCAAAAAGTCCGGATTATTGTCATGTTGATGCAACAACCACTCACAAAACCGCACTCTTGCTGGAAAATCGTCAGGTTGAAGGGCTTGTACACGTTGGACGTGAAACGGATACAGCCCCTCTTCACGCAGCGTTTGCCACACTTTAGTTTTTGATACTTGCACTTCTCTAGCCACGTCTCTAGTGCTTGTTGAGGGATTCTCGTCTACGCGATTCTGTAGTTCTTCCTCAACTTGCACCATTCGTGGTTGTCTAGACCTCCCACTGTGCCCACCTCGAAATCCCTCCAAATGGCCCGTATCCCTGACTCTCTGGACCAGGTACACAAATCTGCGGGGCCTTGGATGATGTCGTCTAGGGAAACGATCTGCATACACTCGGGAAGATTCTGTACCATTTTGAAGACATTCGCCATAAATTAACAAGATATCAACGAGTTCATTATTGGTGTATGAGTGTGCCATTATTATTATTTTTTTTTGAAACGCAATCGATTCAACGGGTTCGTTTCCCTCTACACGCGTGACCGTAACCGTCGGTTGAAGGTTGCATACTGACCTGACACACTGACCCCGACCCAGTTCTGTCGTCGGGTCGAGCCAGTGACCTTGTACCACTCGGTGATGTCGCGGGTCGCGGCTACAGGACGGTATTCAGATATTTTTGATGTTGCAGAGCCCTTTATCTCGGCTCCCTTAAGACATTGATGTATATGGTAAATTGCTTATGTTTTCAAGATCTATACGTCGTGTAAAGGAAAATCCCAACATTGCGGACACCCCGTATTTTCAATGACATTATTGCTTGCATGATTTTCGCTTTGCACAAGTAATTCTGTACCACCCCCCAGAGATCTATTCTCGAACGCTAGGAACAAGTACGATCTCATTTCGTGCGAACATTATTCAAATTGGCTAATCAACCAATCATTTATCGAGACGAGGGTTAAAACTAATAGGTAGTATGTAGGGCTTGTTCCGGCAACGAATTTCTAACGGTTATGGATAGTTTGAAACAGTTAACCATGTTAGATTGACGTATACAGCTGTGCGATGTTTTTTTGAAAATTAATTTGGTCATCTGAAAATGACAGTTGGAAATCGTTTGAAAATCATTTCAAAAATATGCCTCGAAGCCTATAACGTTTCCATGCTTCACCCACTAACGAGGAAGTATTGTAACTGCGAAAAATTTCAAAAACGATTATGTTTTTTGGATGTCTTATGACATGTTCATCACGAAAAATCATACCATTTATTTCCGTCGTTCTGTCTGTCTGTCACTCAAACTTTGTGTTTTACGTTGCAGAGACTCCTGATCATTAACTGAAAAATTTTTTTAGAGGTTAAAAGTTGGATGTGGCGGAGGGTATATCTTAATTACTTGATTTTCGTTTTTAATACGCCTCCAGCCCCGGCAACTCTATTCACCTATTAGACATATTTCACTCGTAGATTCCCTGAAAATAGTCAGGTATCGATACTACGCCGTAATGCTGTTAAAGTCAATATCGTCATCCACGTAGGATTAGTCATAGCAACGATCAAGTCAGTGCCCGCAGGAATTTCGGTCAGGGGGAGGGCAAGGGTCATTTATCGGCAAGAGAAGCATACTTGGGCGAGGGGAAGCATAGTTTTTTAAAGAGGGGAAAATCTTAAAACGCCCCAAAATTGTACACAGAACCCACAGAACGAGGGTGGTCCCAGAAGTACCCGACCCAACGAAGAAAACACAAAAATTTTGTAAAAAAATGTATCTATTTTTCAACATAATCTTCTTTGAGCTCTATACACTTGTCCTAGCGATGTTCAATAAGTTCGATACCTTTTTTAAAATAAGAACTGTCTTCCTCCTCAAAATAGCCATTAACTGCCAACATCGCTTCTTCATCGTTGGAAAATCTTTGACCACTGAACCATTTTTTCAAGTTTGGAAACAGAAAATAATCCGAGGGGGCTAAATCTGGTGAATAGGGTGCATGAGGTAGCAATTCAAACTGTAATTCGTTAATTTTGGCCACTTCAATAACGGATTTGTGAGCTGCTGCATTGTCTTGATGAAACAACACTTTCTTCTTAACCAAATGCGGCCCCTTTTGCTTCATTTCATCGCTCAAACGTTGCAATAAGTTCGCATAATACCCACGTTTCATCCATGGTTATGAAACGACGCAAAAATTCTGCTTTGTTGCTGTGAAACTTCGCTAAACACTCAATTGAAACATCTTCACGGCACTATTTTTGCTCGATTGTGAGCAATCGCGGCACCCATCTTGCACACAGCTTTCCCATGTCCAAATTTTCAGATAACATGCGATGAACCGCACTTTTTGAAATGCCTACTATGTCTGCTAGCTCGCGCACTTTCAGTCGAAGATCATTCAGTACCGCTTTGTGAATTTTCTTCACCATTTCTGGAGTCGTCACCTCATTTGGTCGACCACTGCGATGCTCGTCTTGGCAGCTAATACGGCCTCGTTTAAACTCTGCTACCCAATATTTTACTGTTGTAAACGAAGGAGCAGACTCACTCAGAGTAGAATCCAGTTCAGCTTATATATTGGTTGGGCTGAGGCATTTGAAATAAAAGTATCGTACCACATAACGATGACCATTTTCTCCATTTTCACAAATTCACAGAAAACGTTCAGTATTGATGGCTGCCAAACAAATACTAAACAACGTGGCGTCTTCAAACTTGGCACATATGCTTTGTAGGTTGCATACTTTCTAATACAATGATATGTTTCAAACAGCTATCGCCATCTCTAGGTCAGGCCGGGTACTTCTGGGACCACCCTCCTATATACGCAAATTTAAATTGTATGAGCCTCTTTGACTGACCTGCACCATTTAATTTTTAGTTATACTTGCGCGTTTTCTTAGAAGGGCCTAGTTGTGCTGGACATATTCCTTTACGAACTGATTACAGCATTGAGTCAACCTGAGGCCATTTTTCAGATAATGGCCGCTTTACATACTCAAATAAATTTATGAATTGCTTCCAGGTAATAGATAGCCAAATTACATAGTGAAATTTATTCAAGTCAAGCACACCAACACATATAGTAACTTTCTATAATACCAACTTCAGGAAAAAAATGACAAAATATAATCTATGTATAAGAAATCCAACCAATAAAAAGTTGGCTGTATATTTATATGCTGATTGTTCGTTAAAATATCAAATCCTAAATTAAAACCAAAGCGCCAAGCAGAACTAGATATCAGGACTATAATTAATCACAAAACGTAAACGCGTCAAATAACGAAGGTTGGCATCTAAGGAAAATAATCAATAGTAACCAGAATGCCCCAAAAAATTAACGAAAAATTAGAACAAGCTCTAGTCTAGCAATTTATGCATAAATTTATTGCTATGATGGAATTGGCAACAATTTTTATGTTTACACACTCCAACTTCTTAAAGTTAAAAAATTGCTGCAAATTTATTGAACGACGTAAGGCGGCTAGGTATAGGTATAAGAAATACATTCTTGAAGATAAATATTTACTTTGATTACTGTTTAGTAAGTATTTATTCTAACCACAATTTTAAAAACGTATTCCATTTTAAAATAATACCATGTTTTTGCAGGTGGCGTGCATCCCCAATGGTTGTTATGGCTGGCCATCGCGTTGGGAATCCTCTTCTTGTTGATGTTGATCGTCAATGTGTTCCTGTGTTCAGCAATGACGTGTGCCTGTGCCAGAACGGAGGTAATCGAAAAAGAGCCGAGTATAATCGAAGACTACGATCCATACCGAAGCTGGCATGGGAGTCAGTACGGATCTAGGTAAATAATATGCATTGCTATTGATCGTGATTAATGGATGAGAAATATGATATGAATGAGTGTTCTTTTTATTTTAGCACTGGGTTACTTTTTAAAACCCAATAGTTCGCAAATGCTTTGTCCAAAATTTACTCATTTTCGAATATTTAACTTACAATCTTTGTATGACTGCATGGTTATAACTAGAAACAAAAATTGAAACAAATGGGTGCACAATTATAATGAGACTTAAACTTTTGTTTTCGTTGTGAGCGCACTGGCGCAAAACGTTCGCTTTTATATCCGTTTGGCTCAATGCGTTTTATTATAGATTAGAAGTAGTAAGTGTTGCGTCTATGCGCTCCTGTAAAAATACTACTGTAAATAAATATTGGAAAATGGGTGAATTTTGGACAAAGATGAAAAAATTGCGAACCTTGAGCCTTTAAAATTAAATGAAGAAGAAAAATATCGATGACACTTTAAAATATATAAATAAAATACAAAAATTTCATAGATGTGGTCTGAGTTACTTTCAGAGACGAAGGGTTTGATGGTTTCATGACACAGTTGGCATGCGATAAATTCTAGTGTAACGAAATAAGTATTTCCATTACTATTTTTACAGTGTGCTTTTGTCGGGTATGAAAAGTATGAATATACTTACCGGGTGTTTCAAATTCGACTCTCACCATTGGGATCCTGAAAACGGTAAGAGAGAGGTAAGAGTCGCTCCAATTGGGGAAAAGTTGCCCACTTATGTAACTAAGGAAATACCACTGATGAGCTTTCGCAATTCTGAGTATTTCCCGGGAGAGACGCAAAAAATGAATTTTCTCAAAATCGCTTTTATCAAGATGGGATTATAAAATAAAAACCACACACATGGCCACGTTTTCTCCTCTACGAGATGGCATAATTAGAATTTTAATATGACGTTTGGTCTCTTGTCCTCAATCAACTTTATTTTTTCTTATGGATTTTTAAGCAGGTGAATATAGTTTTTAATTCATATTCCGAAAATGTATAACATGACATACATTGACTTTATCGAACCAAATTTATTTCCCAATAACTAAATTTAAAGAAGATTCAGATAATTTGTCCATTTAATGAATATAACAAGCGTTATCTTACATTTCACCTCAGCCGAAGTTTAGTAGTATTTGAATGCAAGATGTCTGCATCGGTTTCGATATTTTTACAATATCATATCATGAAAATCGGAAATAGGGACCGTTCACCTATGCCTAGTTTTGAAGAAACACTTGGCGATGATATACTAAGTGACATATAAATCCGAACACCCAGATTAAATGGTTTTATTTTAATAAAAGTTGGTGAATGTATTTATCTTACTGTAAATAACAAGTGAAAAAATTTTCAGCCTTATCAGTTGGACATTCCGGTTTTTATACTGCTTTTTTTAATTCACTAACGCTCTAAAAATGAATATTTCAGCCGCAGTAAAGAATCAACGTTGGCGGATTTTGGTTCTTGACATCCTGACAAGCTGGACTTTCTTTTCGGGCAATTGCAGTTAGAGTGCAAAGAAGTGTAGACACTGTGGTTAGGTGTTGTCAGGCATGGCTTCGAGAAAGCCGTACGCAAAGAGCAAGGGGTACTGGACGCCGCCGTAGAACAACAGACCGTAAAGATCGCCGCCTAAGATTATTGGCCTTAAGGGACCGTTTCTCCACTACCAGGTCCATTGCAAATGAATGGTTTGCAGAACACGGAAGACCTATTGGCATGCGAAGTGTTTACCGACGAATGAGAAGTTTTGGCTTGTTTTCATACCGGCCACACTGGGTCCTCCCTTTAACTCGAGAACACCGACGTAATCGCCTTGAGTGGTGCAGACAACGGTCACTCTGGGATCAGGAATGGAACAGTATTGTCTTTAGTGACGAGTCTAGATTTTTTTTAGGCATGCACGATGGTCGTGCCAGGGTTAGAAGGCGACGTGGTGAAAGGAGGAATCCACAGTTTTTTGTTGAAAGACATGTTCATCACACTGTTGGAGTTATGGTTTGGGGTGCTATAGCTTATGGTTCCAGGTCACCTTTATTCTTCATCAGAGGTAACATGAACGCGCAGCGTTATATCCACGAAGTTCTAGAACCCCATCTTTTACCCTATCTTGACACCCTGGCAGATCCAACTTTCCAACAAGATAATGCCCGACCACATGTTGCAAGAGTCACAATAGACTTCTTTCAACATAATGATGTCACATTGTTACCATGGCCACCTAGATCTCCCGACTTATCCCCAATTGAGCACGTGTGGGATATGATGGGTAGGAGATTGCTCAATTTGCAACGTCCTCCTCAGACTCTAGAAGCACTTCGAGAGGAGTTGGTGGTTGTCTGGAATGAGATACCACAGGAGGACATTGACCACCTGATCAGAAGCATGCCTAGGCTTTAAAGCAGTGCAATCATTTTGAAATTTTTATCATTTACTTATTATGCTTCATTAAGTACTTGTACAAAATTTTATTAAAATAAAACCATTTAAACTGGGTGTTCGGATTTATATGTCACTTAGTATATTATGAAACAACTGAGTATTTGATAAATACAAAGCATACTTAAAAAATTCCGTGACAGAGAACTTAATTATGTATAAGTCAATATTATAGTATATTAAACATTTCGGGAATCAGAATTAAAAGCCCTATTTACCTGTGAAAAAATCCAATATGGCGTCCATAAGAAAAAATAATTTTAACGTAACGTCATACTGAAATTCTAATAATGCATGTAGAGGAGAAAAAGTGGCAGAGTTAATTTGATTTTCATTTTGAAATCCTGACTTAAATAAAGTCAGAAAAAATAGTAGTAATTTTGGGAAAATTCAGTTTTTTCCGTCTCTATCCGGAAATCCAAGGAATTCCGATACTTTTTAGGTGGTATTTTCTGAGAGTTCAATTTGAAACGCCCGGTGTAGTCAAATTCCTGAGAGGTCTTTCAGCACTCGAACGAAAAGAAACACAAGATTCAAATAATCTATACCAGCTATCAAAAACTCTATTTCAAATCATTTGTCAAATCATCAATCTGGATTAGTAAATATATTTGGTGTTTTTTAAAAAAAATACATTTTACGTCAATACACTGACAAATGGTTTTAAAAAAATGAAGAACTGGATGATACTCAGGTATCACAGGTTTTTTTTTCGCACTAATTTCAATACTCTATGCATTCAGCTGGCACATTTACAGATCAAGTGTGCTTTGCTCTAACTTACAAAGGATTCGAAACTTTTCTCAATGTGTGGGAGACGATTTTAAACAACCCAATACATCAACTTACCGCAACCTAACAGCCATCTTAGATTACACTGGACAACAAATTTTAGTTTTTTAATTGTATCTTGTGGGAAAAGTGCACTTCTTTGTTAATTTTGGGGCGCTGAATCCAAAAAATGACAATGAAATAAAAAAATTAGTTGCGGTTTAGAAAAAAAACTTTTTATTTTTAAGGATATATTAAAAAAAGTAACAAGATTCATATACTTATAAGAATCACTGTATGCGCTGTCTTTTTGCTGTTCTTTTATGGATCGTTTCTGGAGCATCTCTACCAAGAGTCCAACAGTAGTCTGCAAGCATGGAAGGATTCCACTTTCCCTGGTACCTTTTTTCCATTGTTGAAATATCCTGATGAAAACGTTCGCCGTGCTCATCACTTACGGCTCCGCAATTGTCAGGAAAAAAGTCCAGGTGTGAGTGTAGGAAATGTATCTTAAGAGACATATTACAGCCCATCTTTTGATACGATGACAGCATATTTTTGACAAGGGTTTTTTAGTTGTCAGCTTTTCTATTTCCCAAGAAATTAGTGACCACCAGACGGAAATCATTCCAAGCAGTTTTTTCAATACCTGTTAAAGTGTTTTCAAACTGTGTATCTTTCAAAATATTTCGAATCTGTGGCCCAACAAAAATACCTTCTGTTACCTTTGCCTCACTTAGTCTTGGAAATTTCTGACGCAGGTATTGAAAAGCTGACCCATCTCTATCTAATGCCTTGACAAAGTTTTTCATTAGGCCCAACTTGATAAGCAGTGATGGTAATAAATTTTTTTTCGAATCTACTAATGGCATATGCTGTACATTTTTTTGACCTGGCTCTAGGAATTGACGAACAGGCCAGTTTTGTCTGGTGTAATGAAGTGCCTTTGCCCGACTGTCCCATTCACACAAAAAACAGCAAAACTTTGTGTAGCCTAGCTGCAGCCCAAGTAAAAGTGCAACAACTTTCAAATCACCACAAATATGCCATTGGTGCTCATCGTATTTTATGCATGTCAATAGGTACTTCATATTGTCATATGATTCTTTCATGTGAACTGCATACCCTACAAGAAGAGATGGTAAAATATTTCCAATATACAATAACACTGCCTTTAAACTCAATGTTGAACTGTCTATAAACAATCTCTATTCTTCTGGGTTATAGTTTATATTTAAAGCCGCCAGTAAGCCGTTAATGTTACTGCAGAAAACCAAGTTATTCTCCATATTGAAAAATGGTTCTAAGTCTTTGTGGGGTTTACGAAAAACACATACCGAAACATCGTCTTCTAACAAGTTCCACTGCTGCAGTCTTGATCCAAGTAACTCTGCCTTACATTTTGGAAGTTCTAAATCTCTTACGAGATCATTTAATTCTGACTGTGTTATTTTGTGCGGTTGGTGGCATGACGAGCTCGGTATAAAATCAGGATCTCTTGACGTTGATGGCATATCTTCTTCCTGACGAATCACTCGATCGCCATGATCTGATTCGTTTTCTGATTCGCAAGTGTAGGATTCTGGGGGTTTTGGAATAGGATTTTCGTCACTGTGAGGCACAGGTCTCATCGCAGATGGTATGTTTGGATAGTTAATAACAGATTTTTTTTTCTTGGACACACCTGTGGCTTGTCCAACACAAGGTATCATGCAAAAGTAACAATCATTAATATGATTTGTAGGCTCTCTCCAAACCATTGGGACAGCAAAGCGCATAGACCGTTTTTTGCCATTTAACCAGCTCCTCAGACTTGAATCACATGTATTACAGCAGATGTGCGGTGGCCACTGTTTGTCTTGATCACCTAGTTTACAACCGAAATAAAGCTGATATGCCTTTGTTATTAGTGGAGTAATAGACCGTCTCTGAGACGCAAAAGTCACATCACCACACACGTAACAAAACTGATCTGGATTGTTTACACACTTTCGAGACATCTTGCATGAACGCTGTCAGCCAACTGAGGAAAAAATGGCTAATATAAAACAATATAATGTACACGTATGTATAACGTAACACAATCATGCCGATTACATCATCTTTCCTTGCCGAATATAAAAATGTAGCACGTGCATTCTTGTGAATTACAGTATATTAACACTGTCACAGCAGGAACACATATAATTACCGTATCTCTAAAACTTGAACTAATATTGAAAAAATAAGTTTCATTCCGGTTTTAGCACATTAAAAATAGTAATATTTTGTTGATTTTATTTAGGATATTTTTTGGCTGTTGATCAGTGTTATAGGCACATAAAAAGCGACGATACATTTTTTCAACGAGTCTGCGAAAAAAGGCTCCAGTGGTTTAGAGTTCGTACTTCGATAAAAATAATCTCGTAGTGTACCTTTTTGGAGACATAATCGAAATGAGACAGTCCAAAGCGCCATCTATCACACCAGAATCGTCCACTGTTAGGAATCACAGTTCGCGTTCGATAGCTCAGTAATCACGTGACTGCTAGATGGCGCTGGCATCATGTTTAGTTTATTCAATGGCAAGTAGATCACACATACTTTACAGCCAGTATCGTCAGCCATCTAGCAGTTACGTGGTGACTGGAATATTAAAGGCGAAGTGATATTCTTAAGAGTTCCAACTAATAGCAGTTATGCGTTCTCCGCAGTGGTCAATTCTGATGTGACAGATGGCGCTTTGTGCTGTCTTACTTCAATAAACCGTACCTCCGAGATAGAGGATAGTTGCGATCTTTTCGTTTGTTTGCCCAGAGACGAGGGACCAAGCCTAGACTATACTGATGAGTAGCCAAGAAGCATGAAACAGCTTTCCATAGTTGGCTGTCTTTTGCTCGGATGGACGGAAGCATCATGAATTAGTCCGTAAAGAAAGTAATTTCACATTTTTTCACAGATATTCCCTAAATGGAGCTCCTCAGCACCCAAAAGGCTACACCTCCGGAGGTAGCACCATGAACAGTACCAGATCAGTATCTTCCCATAGCGATCACTATGCCATCGTGCATTCCAGGCCTGGCAGTAGGGGCTACAGCAAGCATTCTAGGGGGCCCCCTTCGCACATGGGCAGCCATTATAGCGGAAAATAGACATCACCAGCTCAAAGAAGAAAGAGAATAAATATGGTGCAAATGTGAATGATTGTGTATGGATGAGATTTAGTTATTAAGTGTACAGAAGTACAAAGTGGTAGTGTTGGTTTTGCGACAATGAAATTGGGTGGTCAGATGTTGTGTACAGCGCCTTTGAGTCAGGTTAGCCAGTTGAAATACGGGATGATAGAATTTTAACGTCAAGTTAATCGAAAATTTCAAAATTGCGGCTGGGATCCATCTTAGAACATTTTTTTTTTAATTGAATGGAGGGCGATGTGGAACGCCATTTTGAAGCTGTGTAACAGTACAGTGCCGTGTAATACAAAGTTCTCCATCTTTTCACATGTTCTGCAGGTTAAATTGTTGGATTTGAGGAGAAAGAAAGATGCAGCGTCTTCAAAGAACATGAATGACACCTCCATACCAAACACCGCATCGAACTGTGAGTCGACGAGGATGTAGTGGTCGTTGATGGATGACACGAGAGTTCTCTAATGCACAGATACGACAATTCTGCTTATTAACAAATCCGATCATATCGAATTGGGCTTCATCGCTCATGATCAGTTGTCGGTAAAAATAGTTATTTTGGGTATTGCATGATCACTAGGCTGTAGTTCTTGGGTCAACTGAATTTTGTGTGGCCGCAAATGCAAGTCTCTTTTTAGAATAGTGCACAATGATCTACGACGATTACACAGTTCTTGAGAGCGATGTCTGGTAGACGTCTCAGGGCGCTTCATTACATTTTCACGAACTCTCTCGATATTTTCCGGAATACGAACACGGCCCGACCTTGGCAAGTCTTCAACTTCGCCTGTTTATTCAAATTTCCGCATCAACTGACGAATGGTACACTGGGCACATTATTTAGACCGAAATCTTGTAGCTTCCGAATCGTGGCAGCAATCGACTCATCATTTAAGTAAAACGTACTGAAATGCATGTACCAAAAATGGCGCGCAATTTAAATCAGTCAGTTACATATATTCGCTACCGTGTATTTAATAATTATCTGACCACTACTTTTATGTCCAATCCATCTGTATCTTGATTTGTTGTTGTCAGTTTTCTTGGTTGAACCAGCTTTGGTGGATCTGCTAAGTATCTGAGTGTGTTACCATAAAGTTGTCTTCCAGAAAATGGTATAGCTTACTTTTTCACATTCTCAGTCAAGTAACTTTATTAATTAAACTAAAGTGCAATTAGAAGAATAGTCAACTATAAAAATAGTAGAAAATAAACTTAAATTTACTGGTACCTACCCTAAATAAAGTGTGCTGATAAAATAGTCAAAACGGAAATGCACTTTTATAGGTCTGATGAGTTGTTAAACAAGTTGAAACGTAAATCACTTATTTATGCATTTATGTTTTTATTAGTAATACAGACAAAATAAGATAAACGTGCAAAATCCCCTGAGTAATCGGTAGCTTCCAGAACAAAATCTAGATGTTGATTCCATTAAAAATTGTTTTATATGAGGAGTCTCCTAGACTTTCATTAATTTGTCCAAGGCATCACTTTTACCTAAGACATTTGGGTGCTTCCCAGGCTACAATGAAGCTTCCTTGTTCTCAAAGTTATCTCATTGCTAAAGGATTATGAATTCAGCGTTTCCATTGTTGTTGACTACAAGGTACAAGTCAAAATTTAGACCAATGGTTGCAACATTATGCACGTACGGTGGCACTATCTTCTAATCTGAGGTACAAAAACGTCATCTGTTTCACATACGAAATGGTATGTTTTTTTTCCATAACTAATGTGATAAAAAATAAAAAACATTGACTAATATATATGAATTAACGTATTAGGTGCGGAAATTGAAACTTCTATTTGAGTGGAATGCCTGTTGTAATATTAATTAATTATGGATTATGTAAATTTGATAATGAAGTATTTAATGTTAATCATTATTTAAGTTTTTTTAGAATAAACATTGTAAATTGAACTGATTTGTAAAACATATTGTGTAAATAAAATATCTACTAGAACAGTTAAATGTTTCAATTCCCTTAGTTCTTTTTCAGGTATAGACAATTGTGACCCCGATAACTGTGGCAGTATGTGTAGAAACTTCGTTGTAAAAACAAATTATACTAAGTGACATATAAATCCGAACACCCAGTTTAAATGGTTTTATTTTAATAAAAGTTGGTGAATGTATTTATCTTACTGTAAATAACAAGTGAAAAAATTTTCAGCCTTATCAGTTGGACATTCCGGTTTTTATACTGCTTTTTTTAACTCACTAACGCTCTAAAAATGAACATTTCAGCCGCAGTAAAGAATCAACGTTGGCGGATTTTGGTTCTTGACATCCTTTACGATCGGTTACGATGCCTAGAGTACGGAGACCTGTACGATTTCGTCAACTTAGTGAGTTTGATAGGGGCCGTTTAGTGGGACTTCGGGAAGCTGGACTTTCTTTTAGGGCAATTGCAGTTAGAGTGCAAAGAAGTGTAGACAATGTGGTCAGGTGTTGTCAGGCATGGCTTCGAGAAGGCCGTACGCAAAGAGCAAGGGGCACTGGACGCCGCCGTAGAACAACAGACCGTGAAGATCGCCGCCTAAGATTATTGGCCTTAAGGGACCGTTTCTCCACTACCAGGTCCATTGCAAATGAATGGTTTGCAGAACACGGAAGACCTATTTTCATGCGAAGTGTTTACCGACGAATGAGAAGTTTTGGCTTGTTTTCATACCGGCCACACTGGGTCCTCCCTTTAACTCGAGAACACCGACGTAATCGCCTTGAGTGGTGCAGACAACGGTCACTCGGGAATCAGGAATGGAACAGTATTGCCTTTAGTGACGAGTCTCGATTTTGTTTAGGCATGCACGATGGTCGTGCCAGGGTTAGAAGGCGACGTGGTGAAAGGAGGAATCCACAGTTTTGTGTTGAAAGACATGTTCATCTGACACTGTTGGAGTTATGGTTTGGGGTGCTATAGCTTATGGTTCCAGGTCACCTTTAATCTTCATCAGACGTAACATGAACGCGCAGCGTTATATCCACGAAGTTCTAGAACCCGATCTTTTACCCTAACTTGACACCCTGGCAGATCCAACTTTCCAACAAGATAATGCCCGACCACATGTTGCAAGAGTCACAATAGACTTCTTTCAACATAATGATGTCACGTTGTTATCATGGCCACCAAGATCTCCCGACTTATCCCCAATTGAGCACGTCCTCCTCAGACTCTAGAAGCACTTCGAGAGGAGTTGGTGGTTGCCTGGAATGAGATACCACAGGAGGACATTGACCACCTGATCAGAAGCATGCCTAGGCGCGTTGGAGAATGCGTAGCACAAAGGGCTTTAAAGCAGTGCAATCATTTTGAAATTTTTATCATTTACTTATTATGCTTCATTAAGTACTTATACAAAATTTTATTAAAATAAAACCATTTAAACTGGGTGTTCGGATTTATATGTCACTTAGTATATTTGGTTCCGACAATAACGTACACGGACCGAACCGGAATCACAGTGTATGTTTTGTTGTAACTGAGAAATGAGATAAAATCGTTAATATGCGATCAGGCAGCAGCGGTGGCCGCAGTAGTAGACTCTTCGGTCTCCTGATCAGTCGCCGTGCGCTGTGCGGGTTCGATTCCCGTCCCAGGAGAAATTTTTCTCTTTTCTATGGATATTGTGATTGTCCATAGGCGGTAGACGGTCTCTGACTGTCGAACGTGGAGGTACCACCCGGCGGATCTCGTAGGCGGAGCCAAAATGTGTGCATGTTGCATGCACACGTGTTCCCTCGCCAATGGGTGTTTAGGCCTTAGGCCTTCGTGGTAGTCGGAGAATAAAAAAAAATATAAACCAAAAGTGATGAACTAGCAAAAAGGAATACAATTCAATTATTATATTGATAACTAAAGTGTACGAGGGTGGTCTGAAAAGTTTCCGACCTATCAAAGGTACAAGACATTTTTTCTGATTTTTTTTTATTTTTCAACATAGTCTCCTTGTAACTCTACACACTTCTACTTCTCCCAGCTCCCATTTCTGCAACCAAATAGTACTCGGCGTTTTTCTCTGCGAAATGATTGTTCACGAATGTAATTGCCTCTTCATTTGAAATCTCTGTCCTCCGAGCGTAATTTTTAGATGAGGGAACAAAACGAAGTCTCTTGGGGCTAAATCTGGTGAGGAAGGTGGATAGTCAAGCAGTTTCAACCGTAATTCGTGGATTTTCGCCATAACACCCTATGATGTGTGAGACGATGCCGATTTTCGTTTTCTGTAAATGTGGCCGTTTTTCCGCAAGCTCCGCCTTCAGCTTGTCAAGTAATAATGCGCTGTATGCTCCTGTAAGAGTTTTTGTTTTTTGAAGATACAGTGGACCCCCGCTAATCCGGCCCCTGTCTAATCCGGCGCCCCCTGCAATCCGACATGTCTTTGAATATGTATTATGTACATATACGTACATACGTATTTGACAATCTTCGCTAATGTAGATCACGCAGGTTTGAAAAGGTTACAACTTGTACGCGCCACCGCTATCGTGCTCGATGCGTAACATTGTTTTATTTAGTTTGAATTTGACTACTGGTGATAGCGGTACGGCCTAGCGTGCGTTCATTGTTTACTATACTAAGTGACATATAAATCCGAACACCCAGTTTAAATGGTTTTATTTTAATAAAATTTTGTATAAGTACTTAATGAAGCATAATAAGTAAATGATAAAAATTTCAAAACGATTGCACTGCTTTAAAGCCCTTTGACCTATAATTATGTGTGGATGCACCCTGATGTGCTACGCATTCTCCAACGCGCTTAGCATGCGTCTGATCAGGTGGTCAATGTCCTCCTGTGGTATCTCATTCCAGGCAACCACCAACTCCTCTCGAAGTGCTTCTAGAGTCTGCGGAGGACGTTGCAAATTGAGCAATCTCCTACCCATCATATCCCACACGTGCTCAATTGGGGATAAGTCGGGAGATCTTGGTGGTCATGGTAACAATGTGACACCATTATGTTGAAAGAAGTCTATTATGACTCTTGCAACATGTGGTTGGGCATTATCTTGTTGGAAAGTTGGATCTGCCAGGGTGTCCAGATAAGGTAAAAGATGGGGTTCTAGAACTTCGTGGATATAACGCTGCGCGTTCATGTTACCTCTGATGAAGATTAAAGGTGACCTGGAACCATAAGCTATAGCACCCCAAACCATAACTCCAACAGTGTGATGAACATGTCTTTCAACAAAAAACTGTGGATTCCTCCTTTCACCACGTCGCCTTCTAACTCTGGCACGACCATTGTGCATGCCTAAACAAAATCGAGACTCGTCATTAAAGACAATACTGTTCCACTCCTGATCCCAGAGTGACCGTTGTCTGCACCACTCAAGGCGATTACGTCGGTGTTCTCGAGTTAAAGGGAGGACCCAGTGTGGCCAGTATGAAAACAAGCCAAAACTTCTCATTCATCGGTAAACACTTCGCATGCCAATAGGTCTTCCGTGTTCTGCAAACCATTCATTTGCAATGGACCTGGTAGTGGAGAAACGGTCCCTTAAGGCCAATCATCTTAGACGGTGACCTTCACGGTCTGTTGTTCTACGGCGGCGTCCAGTGCCCCTTGCTCTTTGCGTACGGCCTTCTCGAAGCCATGCCTGACAACACCTAACCACAGTGTCTACACTTCTTTGCACTCTAACTGCAATTGCCCGAAAAGAAAGTCCAGCTTCCCGAAGTCCCACTATACGGCCCCTATCAAACTCACTAAGTTGACGAAATCGTACAGGTCTCCGTACTCTAGGCATCGTAACCGATTGTAAAGGATGTCAATAACCAAAATCCGCCAACGTTGATTCTTTACTGCGGCTGAAATATTCTTTTAGAGCGTTAGTGTATTAAAAAAAAGCAGTATACAAACCGGAATGTCCAACTGATAAGGCTGAAAATTTTTTCACATGTTATTTACAGTAAGATAAATACACTCACCAACTTTTATTAAAATAAAACCATTGAAACTGGGTGTTCGGATTTATATGTCACTTAGTATATTTATTCATTGTGTATTAAGTGTAGTACCTAGTAATGTCATCACAAACTCAGAAGCGAAAGCACAAAACATTGACAATTAAAGAAAAATGTGATATTTTAGACCGCTTAAATCGCAATGAAACTTTCAGTAGTTTAGCAAGTGAATACGGCGTAGGCCGATCTACAATTTATGACACTAAAAGAAACCACGAGAAGATCAAGAAGTTGGTGTCAACTACTGACTGCAGGCCAGGCAAGAGACAGACACTCAAGAAAGCTGAACATCCAGAAGTGGAAGAAGCTTTGTACATGTGGTTTCTTCAAGAAAGAAATAGGCATGCACCAATTTCAGGACCCATGTTGGCCATGATGGCTAAGTTTTTTATAAAGAAATAACAAAAAAAAGATGATTGTGTGGCCAGCAAAGGATGGCTAGAACGTTTTAAAAGTCATCATGGCATACGTTTAATGACTATTTCAGGAGAGAAACTTTCTAACGATGCCACCTGCATAGAGCCCTTAGAAATTAAGATTTTTGTAAAAGGTGAACGATTTAAATCTTGACCCGTCACAGGTGTACAATTTAGACGAATCAGGGCTTTTTTTGGCGTGTAATGCCTAACAAAATGTTCGTTTCTTGTAACGAAAAATCCGTACCTGGACGAAAAGTAAGTAAAGAGCGTGTAACCATACTACCATATGCTAACGCTGCGGGCACACACGCCCTTAAGATGATGGTCATTGGGAAATCTAATAAACCACGGGCATCCAAAAACATTGATTTACCTGGACAAAAAAGTGCATGGATGACAAAAGCCCTTTTCAAAAAGTGGTTTGATGAATGCTTCGTACGTGAAGTTAGAAAATGGTTAAAAGATCATAATTTTCCTCAAAAGGTGTTGTTGCTTCTTGATAACGCTCCCGGTCATCAGTCTGAAGAAGAACTAACAACTGAGGATAAATGCATCACTGCGATGTTTCTTCCGCCAAATTG